ATCTCAATTTTTGTCCAGCAAATTTTTATGATTTCTGAGCTCAAAATTCAAATTTCAAACCTTTATAACAATTTCAACGCAATATGTTATTCAATGTTATGTTAATATTTTATTCCCTTTTATAAAATAAAATTGGTTGTTTTGCTCCTTCTCATGTTTGTTTTGTTATCTTGGTACGTTTGTTCTTATCCAATGGTCTGCATTTTATAAATCTCTCTCCAAAACCTCTCATCTCCCCGTCCCCCCTCTCAGCTCCGTTAGCTCTCAATCCCTCCCCTCCCCTACTCCGTGCCAGCTCCGATCCAATCCGTCTCTCGTCTCTGTACCTCCGAGAGGTAAGGTTTGAAACCAGCATTCAGTCTCCGAAATAAGACGGAGTAGATAAGCTCGAGAATAAATGGGCTTAGCGCATATATTTTAAAGGCGGTATAGATAGGACAAGACAGGTTGGGAATATACAGTATTTACATCATAGATTAAATAGATAGGACAAGATAGGTTGGGAATATATTGTGTTTACAGCATAGATTTATCAGATAGGACAAGATTGGTTGGGAATATATTGTGGTTAAATCTATAGATTTAACAGATAGGACAAGATAGGTTGGGAATATATTGTGGTGAAATCTATAGATTTATCAGATAGGACAAGATAGGTTGGGAATACATTGTGGTTAAATCTATAGATTTAACAGATAGGACAAGATAGGTTGGGAATATATTGTGGTGAAATCTATAGATTTAACAATTAGGACAAGATATGTTGGGAATATATTGTGGTGAAATCTATAGATTTAACAATTAGGACAAGATATGTTGGGAATATATTGTGGTTAAATATATAGATTTAACAGATAGGACAAGATAGGTTGGGAATATATTGTGGTTAAATATATAGATTTAACAATTAGGACAAGATATGTTGGGAATATATTGTGGTTAAATATATAGATTTAACAGATAGGACAAGATAGGTTGGGAATATATTGTGGTTAAATATATAGATTTAACAAATAGGACAAGATAGGTTGGGAATATATTGTGGTTAAATCTATAGATTAAATAAATAGGACAAGATATGTTGGGCATATTGTGTTTACAGCATAGATTTATCAGATAGGACAAGATATGTTGGGCAGATTGTGTTCACAGCATAAATTTATCAGATAGGACGTAGACAGGTTAAGAATAGTGTTTATATCATAGATATAACAGATAGGACAAGGCATAGCTTTAAAATATAGAACAAGTAGGACAAGAAAGGTCAGAACTAGGTGAACTTATTCTATACATCTTTTTTACTTTAAACAATTGAAAACTTTGAAATAAAAGTTTCTTCTTTATTTATTCAATTTGAGTCTTAGAGCCTTGATGTATTCAACTTTTATTACAGAAGGTTTCAAACAAACTGGAAATCTTGCAAATTTATAGATTCAAATTATTCTGCCGGCAAATTGGGGATTTTGTCTTGGTGTGAGAATTACTGCAGACTCATCTTATTATTCTTGCTTCAGTATTCTCAGATGCAGGTTGTCCCACACAACGACAGTTGGTGAATAGTTAAAAATGTCTTCTTCCATATTATAGTAAAATTGATTTCACAGTCAAATATGAGTATGTGCAAGAAAACATTCAAAACTATTCACCAATTGTCATGTTTCGTGGGACACCGTGTATGTCTAAAGTATCCTTTAAAAAAACTGAATTTGATGATATTTACAATTTTGCCTTTTTTTATTTTGAGAATAAAGTTTTATCTCTCCATTGTCTTTTTTTGTTGTATTTTCGGTTTGCTGACCAAGGATCTGACTGTAATATCATTGCTTTTTTTATCTGTAAAGTTTTAATTCTCAATAAATGTGATTTGCAACATGAAGATAACGGGTAACATTTACCCAAATGCTTAAAGGGAGTGTTCGCGAAAAATGAAAGGGGTAAAGGCTTACGACGAAAACTAAGTGCTTTTGATCGCAACATTCAACTCGGATCGTAAAATAACCAATTTAATTTCAAACAAATCATTTAGATATTACAAACAATAATCCTCGATTATTTTTTGCATTTTTATATAGTTAATATTTCATAATATTAAAACATGCATTGTGATTAGATTAACTACATTTATATCTATCCATGTTAATATTTTAAATATGTACATTGTACATTCAACTTAAACTACACAATAGACATGTGTGGAGATAGATTAACTGCTTTATATCTATCTTCGCTAATCTTAACTGGATATATAACTGTATATACAGCTAATCTATGCTGTATATATATCGACATAGAACTTGTAATTCCGTGAATTCACATTAACTTGTTACATAAGATATCTGAAATAAATCAGTTGGTTGAGTCTCTGCTTTAATTACAGTATTAGAAGTAATTATTCCTTGTTGAAACATACAAGCTAACGTTTTGCTTAGAGATTTGGCATTGGTTGATTATGAGCTTGTTTGAAAGCTACGCTTGTGTCCCAGTGTGACATTCATAGCAAATAGTCCTCGTTGAAACATACGAGCTGAGATTGTACTTAGAAAATTGGCATCGATAGATTAAGAGCTTGTTTGATAGCTACGCCTGTATTGCCATTCAGAGCCGATAAGATTGTGCCCATTGGTTTGGCATTGATCGCTTAAGAGTTTGAGTCACGGTCGACATTTATAGTTGACAAGTTGTACCTGAAATGATACAAAGTTTTAAAAGTATGGCATTTACTATGTAAGGTGAAATAAACAAAACAATGCAGCATGATAATTTAAGGATTTCTGTTATGGTTTCTGTTCAAAATTTGAGTGTGATTGTAACTTTGGGTGAAGTTGTAATAATCTAACAGTATTTTAGATGAAAAACGATCATATCTTCCTCATTATTACTTGAATAAAGGTTTAAAGGGCAGCGTTGTGATTTCTAAATTGAGGTTCAGTTTAAGTTACAACTATACAGTCCTTTTAATCCCAATTAATTTAGTAGAAATTGAAACTTAAACTATCATAGTTTAAAACTTATAATTGGATGCTCCTTAATATCTATTGTTAAAACTATTAATTTAAGTTTATCACATCAGAACTTCCTTAAAAATCCAGCTAACATGGATTTAAATATATCCTACATTTACCCCACGCTTAGCCTACATTTAGCCTGCATTTAATCATCTTTTAGCTATCATTTAGCCTACAACTATGTATAAACTTTGCTTGTCTGTCTATCTTTCTGTCCGTTTATATCCTTACGTGACCCTAGGGAAGGCTTATGAATGATCAAAATTGCCCAAATTTGCCTCCAACAAAATTCGATTTTCAATATTTTTTTTAATGAAATCCGCGATTTTTTTATTTTGTTTTACAATGTACACAAAGAGAACATGTTCGCTGAATTGAATTATTAGATGGGCGCGAAGCGCTATAAATCCCATTTTAGCCTACATTTAGCTAATATGCCCGATTTACAACGGTTCCTTGTTTAAACATTTACTGTAAAGTGTGTGATATCGCAGTTCTCTTAGCTTGACATTTTTGAAAATTTTCTTGTTTGAATCTGATGAGAACTTTAACCCTATCCTTGATGAGATACTTAAAAACCAGGATACGCTGGGGGGGGGGGGGAGTAGCAAAGATAATATCTGAAATAAAAAAATGTAATAAGTTCCAATTTCACAAGATCAAATATAATGGGTTTGAACATTTTGCAGGTAATAAAATTTAGATTTACGACAAACCAGAAACTAAACTTCAAAAGAAAAATGTTAAAATTCCTTTTGACAACTTTTGTGTCAGATGTTATGTTCGTGAACAAAGGAACTGACTGAACACTTAACTTTTAACTTTCTAATTCTTATGTTTGTGCAACTTTATGCTGTATACATTACATTACATATTTCTATTAAGCAAAAGTATATATACTATAGTTGCAGATTTAGAAATATTAAAGGTTTACACCATCAACATGTAATATTCGATATTTCTATTTCTGCCAACAGTTTAGACCAATAGAAAAAGTGATAAAGGAAAATAATTTTGACAGAAACTCAAATTATCAAATCCCAATATCTTTGCAACTGGATGGTGTAAACCTTTGATATTTCAAACTTAAATTTTTTGATCTTACAGAATAGCAAAGGTCTACAACATTACGTTGTAAAGATATGGTATTAGATAATCAGAGTTTGTGGCAAAGACTGAATTCCTTTACGAAAACTTGTGGTGTTAGGGTTTAAATATTTTTGGTGTGTCATGGACACATCAAATGCAGATGATCAAACCCGTGTATTCGTAAATAAAAGAACTGAGTTTTTAACCACAAACGATCTGATTTTATAATCCATACATCTGTGCAACCTAATGTAACAGACCTTAGATATATCAAAATATTAATTCTGTTTGAATAAATAATATAAGTTTGAAATTTAAGAAGTAATTATATTACTATCCGGTTGCAAAGTTTTAGGAAGTAGAAAATTTGAGTTTGTGGTAATTACTGAATTACTTTAAGGAAAACTTGTGGAGTTAGGGTTTAAAGAAATTAACCATAGACAAATTAGATGCAGATGTTAAAAACTTTGTGTTTGCTGGTAAATCTGTATAATTTATCCTCTCTGTTCAGCAGGTTCGTATATTTACACATTTCAAACTAAATTTATACAAACTGATACAGACGTTGCTCTGTTTACTTCATACTAAACTAGAACTCTTCATCAACGCACATTTGAAACTTTTAGAATACTAACCGATCTGGCCTAAATTTTGTGTGGGACCTCACATGACCCCAAGGAAGGTTTATGAATGATCAAAAATTAGCGTCCAGCAAAATTAGATTTTCATTAAATTTAAAAAATCCACGAAATATTTTTTATAAAATTCGCGAACTTTTTTGTTTGTATTTGTTTTACAATGCACATATACAAAGAGAAAATGTTTAATTGAAATAGAAGATGTGTGCGAAGCGCTCTGAAAACCTAGTTTAATAATATTATAGATTTTCTGAACATTTGCAGAAGAATGAAGACATATCGCTAAAAAATGAGTGAAATGATGGGTGATCTTACTCTGGAGGATTTTCCAGTAGAAAATGATGGAAACAAAACCTTTATTCAAGCATCTGCTGCTTCAGCTACATACAATATGACAGGGTTAGAGGAGGAAGATATTCGCAGGTAAATAACTTCCTAGTAAGGTTTCCAGCGAAAGGGCGAAATCGTTTCGCGGAAATTTCGCTTTTTTCGCAAATACTTGTTTTCGCCGAAAATTTTGCATTTTTCGCATTTTGTTCCCTCAAGACAAATGCGAGAAGAGAAATTTTTCTCGCAAAATACGAAAGAAAATTTTTGCATTTTTATTGCGAAAGTTTTGGTTCGCGAAACCCTAGTTCCAAGCTTACACTGAACTAGGCAGAAGGAGAAGGTCAAATTCATGCAACATTACTGCTAAGTGACCTGTTAGCTCCTCTTTTCTGATTTTAGGCACAAGTACAGGGTGTCCAAATAAACATGGGAAATCAGTGACGAATTCGATATCGTCTTTTTAAATAGTTCTTTGATTTAGTATAGTGATACCTACAAAGCTGTAATCTGTTAGAGTTTCGTCTGCTATGTTTACATTTTGTTTGTTTATGTTTTGACTGCATAAGGGTGTACTTAGTACAACAAAAAAATTGTAGCATACAAACAGAGTAAACTTGTCCGTCTTCAATGTTTATCTTGCAGAGACATTATAGACACATCTTTACAGTCATTTACCCTTTTCATTAAATAAACTCTAGCAGACATAATAATATTAAGGCTTCTGAAATTAGGTATTACAATGCTAATTCATAACAAAGACGATATCGAATTCGTCACTGAATTCCCATGTTTTTTGGGACACCCTGTATAATAAGAGAAAATGTATCCGGTTATTTCTATCATAAATAAAAAAGTCATATCAATAAAATTCTTCTCAATATAGCTCCTCAATAGATAAAGTACAATTTTCTTCAGTTAAACGTCAGCTAGCCAACTGTAACCTTTGTTTGGGATTAAACCCTGCAGCGGCTTAACTCGATATATATTGGCCAAACTTTTGAACTGAGGTTTAACTCCTTGAGATGTCTATTCATGGCGAAATTGTATTAATATTGATCAGAAGATTTCGCCACCATTGAAGAATTAGTTTTATTTTCAATATTTGGGGTTGAGTAGGTTTTACTATGAATTTGACGGTCAAAAAGTCCCAAAATACCACAAAATGGTTAATGGATGACAGAATGCAAATATGTTTTGTTATGTATTTTATTCATTTCGAGTCCATAATTAATGTTGTTAATAGTTTTGGGTCTTTTTTTAATTATTTAACCTATTAAGATTTCAAAACTGTATTATGTTAAAATTTGCTTTTGTTTAACTTTAAAATATATTTATAAAAAAAAACTGTAAAAACGGTCACAAAATTAGTAATGTAAAGCTCTGAATACATGTATAGATTCAAGGTTATAATGCAAGGAAAGATATTTCAGAGGTGTACGCATCTTTCGTACTACAGTGTACTGTCTCTACACAGTCTGACATGATCCATCTTTCACATAAAAAATCAATGAAATATTTTGGTCATAGGAAACTATTATGCGAATTATCAAATTTTTCAAAATTCAATACTTTTCACCTCCTCGGATACTAGACTAACACTGATGCATCTTTTCTTGTTTTTACTGTATAACTGTAATTAACTTTCCTTGTATTATAACCTTGTATAGGTTGACCCTTTTCCTGGTTCCTGTTGCATTTGGTATTATTCTGACCGTTGGGCTGGTGGGAAATATACTGGTTATTGCAGTGGTAAGTTTATAAGCTTCTGTAGTCGAGATATAAATAAAAAGGGAGGAAGCATTCGTAAATTTAAAAAAAAAATTACTTTGATAGATGCAATCTTGAATATTAAGTTAATGTTCTTTAACTCAAACTTGACTGCTCGACCTAGGGGAACTTGACAACATCAAAACCTAGAATTGTTGAAATGGACTGTAGACTTAGTTTGAAGTGACCGCCTTTTTATATGGTGGCATCACCAATTCACAACAGTACCCTTTTAACCTTAATCTGAGCTATAAAGGGAAAATTGACAACTTCATTCGCTTGTTTAGAGAACTGCAATTGAAAATAATAAAGTAGATAAAAAAACGGAGATAATTATTAACTCCATTAAATGGTATTCATCAACTGAAGGGTCAGTCCAAATTACGTCTATATGTCCCTTTAATGCATACTGCCTAGGTTGCAACGAACCCTCAGATGCGAAACACGACGAACCTCTTGATTCTTAACCTAGCAGTTGCAGATCTACTGTTTCTCATCATGTGCGTTCCTTTTACAGCTGTTGATTATGTTCTCATGTCATGGCCGTTTGGTTTGGTTTGGTGCAGAACTGTACAGGAAAATAATTTTAGAAACAAACTGAAAAAATTATTAGTTTTCAGTTAATCCATAGATTAATAATAAAACAGATATAACACTAGATATTGTCTTTTTAAGTTTTGGGTTCGTTCACAACCCTGAGGCAGAAGCCCATAGGAGTTAATCACATGCCGCGTTGAGTTACAAGAGAGAGAGAGAGAGCCTGACTAACTCCTTTGGGCCTCAGGGTTATTGTGAACGAAAAAACCCAAAATTTTGAAAAGACGACTTTTAGTGTTCTATCTGTACCGTTATTAATCTCTACGTCAATCATTAAAATTAAGAGTTATCATTTAAACATGCGCTATGGAAATATAAATGAAACAAGTTTTAATTAACTAAATCATAAACAAAAAAGCGCATATTTAATTAAAACTGTCTACATCAACATCAGTATTTTCAAAAATAAACAGAAAACAGAAAATTTCAAACATCAAACAAACTGAATGAATTTAAAAGTATATTGTATAAAGAATTATAATTTTCTTGTAATGTTCTTTACAAATAGCCTTTTATTAAATACTAGCTGAAGGGCCCGGCGTTGCCCGTGAAAAAGACTTTCAGTTTTTAACTTCACATTTTTATTAAGAAAAGAATTATACTAAACATAATGTTTCACGTCTATCATGACGATCCTCAGTAGTTACAATTCTTTGAACAACATATATATATATATATACGAATGTCTTGTTTTATTATATAGATAATACAGGAAAAGCCACAACTTATTTTTAAATATGAAGAATTCAATTTAGCTTATTTTACTCGCTGATTTGACCAACCCTACCCACTCCCCATCCTTCTCTCTTTTTTGAAGATGTAAAAAAAGCCCCCCTGGGGAGAAAACATAATATGCCTCTACTTTATGTTTAATAGAATTCTGGAAGGTTTTCTTAGGAAAACAAAATTTGTTTACATTTTCGCAGGGAGTATTGAAACTATGGGAGGGGAGCTGATTTAACAGTTTGGTCCTATTCCTATCAAGCTGTGACGTACGATCACATGGTTGACCTATTGTGCATATTTTTTGTTCTTTTTAAAGCTTTCTTGTTCGGCAGGCCGCGTATGCAGTTTTTAGAAAAGTATTAAAAAGACAACTCCTGAAGCTTTAAGTTTGAAAAAATCAAAATATCTCGCCCTGGTCCATATTTTACCATGATATATCTGTACAGCTATAAGACTTGCAATATCCAAAAACTATTACGTTGCTGTTTACTATGTTACTAGTAGGGCTGGGCAAAGTTCCGTTAACGAAACAAAAAAAACGGTTAAAAAAAGTTTACTAAAAACCTAAAAACGGTAAATTTCGTTATTTCTGATTAAAATTGAATGATTTTTTTTAATTTTAAAATTTAACGCGTTTTGATGTTTTGAACTGTCGTCTTCCGTGTTTATAAACTGTTAACGCAATTTTTTCCGCCGTTATCGCCGTTAATACTGTAATCTATCTAACGATTTTCTTAACTGTTCATGAAATTTTTTCGTCGTTAAAGGGAGTGTTCGCGAAAAATGAAAGGGGTATCCGCCGTTATCGCCGTTAATACTGTAATCTATCTAACGATTTTCTTAACTGTTCATGAAATTTTTTCGTCGTTAAAGGGAGTGTTCGCGAAAAATTAAAGGGGGTATAGGCTTAATGCTATAAAAAAGCGCTTTTGATCGCTAATAATCTTACTTCTATCTGTTGCGTCTATAAGGAGAAACTTGTTAAAAACGTCTCATACCGAATAACTTAGCGCCCATACAAATTCAGAAAATTGCAACATACGACTGAGACCGTAAAAAATCCATTTAATTTTAAACAAATCATTCAGACAGTACAACCTATAGTCATCGATTATCTTTCGCCACATTTGTATATTGTTTATATTTTATAATATTTTATTTTTTAGAAAACGTTTTAACTGATTTCGAAAAATGTGAGTGGTCCGCGGCATTCTTAGATAGTTGCAAGTGAAATAATCAAATTCAAAACAAATTAATTAAAAAATATTATAAAATATAAACTATATGCAAATGTGGCGAAAGATAATCGATGACTATATGTTGTAATATCTGAATGATTTGTTTGAAATTAAATTGATTATTTTACGGTCTAAGTCGTATGTTGCAATTTTCTCACTTTGTATGGGCGCTAAGTTATTCGGCATTAGTCGTTTTTAAAAATTTTCTCCTTATAGACGCAAAAGATAAAAGTAAGATTAGTAGCGATCAAAAGCGCTTTTTTATCGCATTAAGCCAATACCCCCTTTCATTTTTCGCGAACACTCCCTTTAATTTTGCAATAATGGTACCATTAACGGCTAGAGCCGTTAATGATTGTTGAAAAATTTTTGTTAACGCCGTTGATAAAATTGAGTTCGTTAACTAACATTAAAAAACGGAAAATGCAGTTAACGGAAGGAACGTTCTGTTCTTACCTTTAAAATTAACGGCTAACTGAAATTTTATTTTTAACGGTTGAAACTAACTGTTAACGAAACGGCTTTGAAATAGCTGGAACATGACCATCCTTAGTAACTCCTTAGTTTTACTGCCTCTATCTGCTTTTATAAGTTTCACTACCTCTATCGTAAGGATTTGGTTAGGTAAAATACATAATAATAATAATTTTAACTTAAATTCTTATAAATAATATGGTCAGTTTGTTTATAAAATTATTATTAGTACTTGATCTACGTGACTGCATATGTTTCCATCTATACACTAGTTCTAATGGCAGGGGACAGGTATTAGTAAACAAAATGTCAAAACTATCAAACTATTAAGTTTATTGTCAGTTTCGTCAAAATAAAAGGAAAGAGGTTTAAGTTTGCAAGTTGTCTTTAGATTCCTAAAATTAGAGGCTTCTTGGTATGAAATTATAGTTTTGTATTTTTTTTACTTTTTCAGGCTGTTATTTAGACTTTACTGACCCAAATATAGGACCTTTAAAGACAAAAATAGTTAACGTTGCCCAGATTTATATTGTTACAAATGATTGCTCGCGCCGTTTACCCGCGCCTAGTATTAAATCATGATTTAGCTGAAGTGCCTTGCGTTTCCCGTGGAATTTCAAAAAATTTCAATTTGATTTTACCTTTGTAACCTTTGAGGTTATAGCTAACCTATGTATAAATATGTAAATCTAAAGTATCGGCTAAAATATGTAAATCTAAAGTATTAGCTAAAATATGTAAATCTAAAGTATCAGCTAAAATTAAAAAATTTCAATAAATTTCAGTTTCTCACTAAACATAACGTTTCATGCCTTGCAGCAATCTTCAGTAGATTAATTCTGACTGAATGAAATTGAACTTGCAGATGTTTTACAATTCATGTACATATATATATATATTTATATATATTTATATTTATATGAGGTGGAAGGGCTTTATTGTATAGATTAATCAAATGATATTTGGTAGGTTTCTAGCCGTAGTGTTCCCTGTCTCTTCTCTCAGTATTAGAACAATGCAACACGCTAAGGTTGCCATTGCGAGCACATGGGTTATCATATTCCTGGTTTCACTTCCGGTCTGGTTCTCACACAATATCCTCTCACACAACGGAGGTAGAATATTTGGTAGTTTAAAAAACTAAAAACGTTAATAAATTTAATAAATTTTAAGGGGGGGACATCTCCACAGTTTCCCAGGGAGGGGGGACGTTCCCCCTCCCTTCCCCTATAATCTGCCTCTGAGCAAGAGTAAAAGAACTGAGTTTTGCCTCAAACAGATATTTTCTAATTCCTATATCTTAGCATCCAAATGTCCTTGGATATTTCAAAAAACCATGAATTATATTCAAATATCTCAAAAGTTCACACAATAAGGTTGCCAAGATAAAGGGCTTAATAAATTAGCAAATGTGTGGCAAATATTCAGCTCCTTCATGCAGTATGCTAGGGAACGCCAGCGCTGCAGTTTACCCACACTTGAACGATTTTACCTGGAAACTAAATTTTGCCATTAAAGTCCATCCACTTAGCTTAGAATCTCAGAACATTCCCGTGGGCGTTCCAAGTTATTTAATCAAAATTTGAGGCCAAATGTATTCAATATCTGTTACAATATGAGATAAATTGTAACCTAAAATCTAAAATAAAATATTTCAGTGGATTTCTGTCAGTTTGACAGTCTTCAACACAGCTATTTTGGTTTCCATGTCGGCTTCTTTGTGACGTCATTTGCACTTCCGGTAGTGCTAATCCTCATCATGTACATCATTATGCTATCCAGACTTTGGGCTTCAACTACATACAGGATATCAAAGTAAGATTAATCTAGATATTTTAGGATTTTTACAAGTAATTTTGAATGACTTTTCAAATACTTTTTAATGACTTTCGATCAACTTTTCACGACTTTTCAAATATGTTGATATGAATTTTATTAAGTTTGAAATAACTTTTTTGATGAGTTTTTTTTTTATTCAGGCAAGGACTAAAAGCTAAGAAGAGAGTAACAAAGCTTGTATTTGCAGTTGTCATTGCGTTTACAGGTAATATCCATATTCAATTATATATTATAAATATAAGGTAAAATATATAGTGGAGTGCAGTCTCTTGTTGGGAAAATATATAGTGGAGTGCAGTCTCTTGTTTGGAAAATATATAATTAATTGGAATTTATTTTCCTCGGGCAACGCCGGGCTCTTTAGCTAGTTACTTAATAAGAATGAACTAAAATAAGATTTTTAGATAGAAAAAGCCCATTCTAAATCGCAAGTATAATACCTCCAAATTAGAAAAATTATCAACTTTTTCGTAAACATTGACGAACTTGAATCAAATATGTTGAATGTTTCTCTGGATGATCTCTGTTTCAGAATTTTAAAAAACTAATTTCTCGTCTCAAACTCGAATTTTCTAAGAATTAAGAAAGAGTTTAAATAAAGTATTCAGAGGCCGAATTTAAAGAATTTGAGCCGCGACTTAAAATTGTATTCAATTTTTCAAGATTTAAGCCGGCGCTCATTTGAAACCGTTTTGGAAGGGATTTGAGACGCGGCTTAAATTTATTAAATTCAAACACAGATTTATGAATTTAATAATTGGTTTGTTTAGTCTGCTGGAGTCCAATCCAAGTTGTGTTGGTGTTAAAATCTTTAAATAATCAAGATTGGGATACACAGTACAACAAGATAGTTATACAGGTATTTATATACAGTACACAGTACAACAAGATAGTTATACAGGTATATATATATACAGTACACAGTACAACAAGATAGTTATACAGGTATATATATACAGTACACAGTACAACCAGATAGTTAAACAGGTATATATATACAGTACACAGTACAACAAGATAGTTAAACAGGTATATATATACAGTACACAGTACAACAAGATAGTTAAACAGGTATATATATACAGTACACAGTACAACAAGATAGTTATACAGGTATATATACAGTACACAGTACAACAAGATAGTTATACAGGTATTTATATACAGTACATAGTACAACAAGATAGTTATACAGGTATATATATACAGTATACAGTACAACAAGATAGTTATACAGGTATATATATAAATACAGTACACAGTACAACAAGATAGTTATACAGGTATATATATACAGTACACAGTACAACAAGATAGTTATACAGGTATTTATATACAGTACACAGTACAACAAGATAGTTATACAGGTATATATATACAGTACACAGTACAACAAGATAGTTATACAGGTATTTATATACAGTACACAGTACAACAAGATAGTTATACAGGTATTTATATACAGTACACAGTACAACAAGATAGTTATACAGGTATATATACAGTACACAGTACAACAAGATAGTTATACAGGTATATAAACAGTACACAGTACAACAAGATAGTTATACAGGTATATATACAGTACACAGTACAACAAGATAGTTATACAGGTATATGTACAGTGCACAGTACAACAACATAGTTATACAGGTATATATACAGTGCACAGTACAACAAGATAGTTATACAGATATAAATATAGTACACAATACCAAAAGATAGTTGTACAGAGTCTAAAACTAAAGAATGCGCGAAATTTAAGTTATAGCTTAAAAGTTCTGAAAAATATTGAGTTGCTACTTAAATATTAACTTTTCTAAATCAACTCTGAAGGGAAATTTAAATTTCCCGGGGAAAATATGAACCAATCAAATTACAGGAATTATAGAGATTACGGATCGACAGAGATTATACAACATCAGCTGTTTCGTAATTTCAATTTCTTGACAAAACTGCAGCGCGGAAAATAACAAATATATTTCGTATTAGATAAGTTAGATGTATTTATTTATTCCAGATGACAGGAAAAGATTTATAAACTTAAATCATTAGATTAAATCATTTTCATGCATTGAAATATAGCAAAAATAAATGCTTAAAATTCAGGTTTAAATTAAGTCAGAAGTAGCAGTTAAGCTTAAACTCAAATTTTCGTGCTTTAGTTTTGGACTCGGGAAAAATACAGTTAACAGAACAAATAAAAAAACAAGATATTTAGAAAATGCAGGAAACGGTAAGAAAACCCAATTTGTATTCTAAAATATTGTTTAGATTGTCTCCCATGTAATGGCGTACACAAACTCCTGTTTAAACCCAATCCTCTACGCTATGATGTCTAAAAATTTTAGATGCGGTTTCTGCCAGGTCAAAAAATAATATAATAAAAATTAGTTAGTTCCTATGCTCTCTACAATATCCAACCATCGACCCTCCAACCTTCTGCAGTACGAAATGACGTCACGTCGGAAACGGAAATCAAACAATTGGTGAGATTAAAAACAATATCAAAAAATATAATGTTTTAGAATTTTACGAACAGGCTTCACAACTGTTAAAGCAAAATGGATCCTAGATTTGTTTTATTTTTAAAAAATCCATAGTTTTCATCCTAATACATTTTTATTCTATCTATTCTTTATGTGGTCTGCTGTTTTTGCACTGTAAGAATTGACTGAGATATTGAGAAATTTGTTTAAAATTAAAATTATCAAATACAATCTACGTTTAAATCTATAGTATCTCCCACAGTTTTTTTGATACAGTGAGCCTAAAGTCCAAATTTTGAGATTTATAATGTATTATGAACTATGAACTTTACGAAAAACAAAGACAAGTTGTAAGTCCCGGCTCCAATGTACTGCAATTTTGCAAAACACCCCACCCAGAAAATTACATGAAAATTTGAAATATCCATTCTGTTATATATCTAGAACAACGTAAACGTTAAGCTTGGCTATGTTTTTAAAAGCAAAACAGAAATTCCGTTTAGAAGAAAGGGAATCTTTCATTTCCATAATATGAATATCCTGTTATTGTTTAGAAACGTGAGAACAGTAACAAATGTACCTGTCCATTAATAACCTTAAAACAACTTATCTCAGTTACAACTTGTTGACATCTTCCAACAATAAAAAATAAGACACGCTAGGATGAATACTGTTTAAAATTCTACTAATATTCTCCAAGAAAGAAAAATGTATAAAAATCTATAAAATGAAATTGGTGTTTTTTCAGATAATTTTCTTATCTTTCCATATTTGAAAATTCAGATTTTAAAATATTCTCAAACTACCAGATGTGCACCACACACCAAACATAAGTAAATTTCACGCAAAATTAAAATCTTATAGTAAATATTTAGGATGTAACCAGATCAATTCATTTGTCTCGTGCATAAAGTTAGATACAGATACAGATACAGATACAGATACAGATACAGATACAGATACAAAAATTCTCAAAGTCCTAACTTTAATGTCACATATATTTGACCTTCTCCCTCTGTTTAATTCAGTAATGGAATAAATATAAAATGGAAAAAAATTCTTATTTTTGTATATTGATATAAATATACAAAAATAGCGCTCTTACAATTATGCAATACTTAATAAGTAAAAATAGTTTACAATATGTTGCGGCATTTGCGCTCTAACTGATACTTGATTGATTGATAAGTTGTCAAAGGCAGGATTCCTGCCAGTGTATTTAAAATACGTAGATCTGTTAAAAAGATAGATCATTCTAAATATGTTTTTGTAAAATAAAACAAACACTTAAGAATATCCCATGGTCTTTTAATTCTTTTCAAAACAAAATCTTGTTATAATAGAGTTGTTAGACGAGCTACACGTAGGAAAATGAACACTTTAAAAACTCCTCTGATTTAATCAATTAATACCTTAATCAAGGAGAATTGAATAGAAGGAGGGGGCGATAGGGTTTCCGTACACTTTGCTGTGACGTTTTTGGACTGCTGAAGAACTAGTTTTTGCGTAACAACAATAATAAAGATTGTAAACAATAACACAAATGATAAACAGACATCTGGCATCTCAGCTCTGGCGCGTTAGATGAAGATTCACCGTATACTAACTCATGCTTGTTTACATTATATCGGCTGCCTTCGTTATTATTGTTACACAAAAACTAGTTCTTCAGCAGTCCAAAAACGTCACAGCAAAGTGTACGGAAACCCTATCGCCCCCTCCTTCTATTCAATTCTCCTTGACATTAATAACCTTCGCGACCCAAAATTTTTTTATCTATTTATTTGCACTTTACCTTTCGTTAAAATTCTAATATATTACTCGTTTAGTTTTGAGATGTCAAACTACTTATTATCTATTCCAGGTCCAATAGTCAGGAGGCCGGGGGACCCTGTAGGATCGAGCTCAATAGTCCAATGACAAGTCACACACATATAGGTAATCTTTACAAACCTTTAGAACAAAATTTCTCCATTTAAAAGGAGTGACCGGCTAGACATGGTAGTTGAGCTGAGAGTGCAGTTTTTAGAGAAATCTTATTCTTGAAAGCCAGCCTCAAAAATGAACAGTTCAGGAGAATTTTATAAAACTAATTTGCGCTCTTGTTCAGTAATTATACACCGTGATAACGTATTACAGGTCTAAAATTAATTCTAAAAATTGTTTTTATAATACTGCACTCTAAGCTCAACTACCATGTCTAGCCGGTCACTCCCTTTAAAATGTAATCTATAATTAAAACTAAATTTTCTCTTACGGTAAAGTTATTAACCTGAAGTTGTTGGATAGTTTTTATGAAAAACTTTTCCCTTCTATGATTAGAATTGATACAACAGGTTGGTAACTAACCAACATTGACTTTTAACTCTTATTTTATTTGTAAGTTCCCATTTGGAAAATTCACTTTGGAAATGATCACCTTATAAAATACCTGAAATCGTACTTTCTTTCTTTTTACTTTACTTCAAGTGTACCAGGTCCGATTCACAACAGCACCCTTTGACCTATCTCTGATGAAGGAAAAATAATAATTATTTTCTTACTGAAAATCGATTATTGTCAAATGTGGTTTCTCTTTGAATGTGAATTGTGAAATTTTACTCCTGATAATGGAAGAAAAATTGTAACAATTTAACACTAATTAATAAAAAAAAACCTTGATATCTTCCATATTTGCTCATAAAGAGGTTTCAATCGTACCCTTGTAAATCGAATTCTTTGTTCAGGCGCTGTATCGAGTATGGCTCTGGCAACAGCTAAGTTAATGCATGCCACTCCTGGGTTTATTCCTCATACATCCTGCCCACTTCAGGTAGTTTATCATTCCTCATACATCCTGCCCACTTCAGGTAGTTTATCATTCCTCATACATCCTGTCCACTTCAGGTAGTTTATCATTCCTTATACATCCTGTCCACTTCAGGTAGTTTATCATTCCTCATACATCCTGCCCACTTCAGGTAGTTTATCATTCCTCATACATCCTGCCCACTTCAGGTAGTTTATCATTCCTCATACATCCTGCCCACTTCAGGTAGTTTATCATTCATCATACATCCTGTCCACTTCAGGTAGTTTATCATTCCTCATACAATCTGTCCACTTCAGGTAGTCTATCATTCATCATACATCCTGTCCACTTCAGGTAGTTTATCATTCCTTATACATCCTGTCCACTTCAGGTAGTCTATCTTTTCTATATATACTGTCCACTTCAGGTAGTTTATCATTCCTTAAACATCCTGTCCACTTCAGGTAGTTTATCATTCCTTATACAATCTGTCCACTTCAGGTAGTTTATCATTCCTTATACATCCTGTCTACTTCAGGTAGTTTATCATTCCTTATACATCCTATCCACTTCAGGTAGTTTATCATTCCTCATACATCCTGTCCACTTCAGGTAGTTTATCATTCCTTATACATCCTGTCCACTTCAGGTAGTTCATCATTCCTCATACATCCTGTACACTTCAGGTAGTTTATCTTTCCTTATACATCCTGTCCACTTCAGGTAGTTTATCTTTCATTATACATCCTGTCCACTTCAGGTAGTTCATCATTCTTCAAACATCCTGTCCACTTCAGGTAGTTTATCATTCCTCTCATAGAAAGGCACACATCTACCATGGCTAACATAATTTTTACATGTAAACATTGTGATATACTTTTCAATCAAGTACCTATGCGTATCTCTAGGCACATTAAAAAATTTGAATAGCAGTATTCCATGCTGTATACAATTTTGAAACATATTGGGGAACTCAAGTCCCGAATACTAGATCCATAAAAATATTATAAAGTTTCAAAATAACACCTGGACTGTTAAAATAAAATTATTGGTTAATAAATTTTGAAAAAAAAAATTGCTCGTTTTTTACTGCAATCTATGGTCATTAATTTAGCACTTTGCAGAAAGTTTCCTAAATGTTTTAAGTCGTTAAAAAATGGCAAATGGTAACTTATTCAATAATGGCCTAATCTCTCCTGGAATCGAATTTAATGAAATTGCGGGGTCGCTAAATTGCTTACTTGACCGGTTCAAGTTTGAATCACCGATTCAAATCCTTCCTGAATTTTTATCTTTGAATTTGTGGTATACTAATATGCAATTATGTACTAAAAAGTTAGGAATACTGCCAATAACAGAGGAGTGGGGGGGGGGGGAAGTTGTCAATGAAATATTTCTAAAATGCCGTTTTAACCTTCAAAAGTATGCCTAATAATGTGTTCGAAAGATTGAACTTTCTTTGATAATTTAGATCGATCACACTTATATGAATTCTTCTGGTTGTGCAGTGTATTCTTTATATAATAACCATTGATATATCCCGGACATGATATACCTCAATATAATTCAATAATAGTTTATATGATAGTTTATAACAAATAATTATATTGTTTATATAGTATTTACAATATATATCTTTACTTAAACACTCTCGTCATCAATGAATAATGTGCGAATGAATGAAAATACAATAACAGAACTGCTGCAGAAGCATTTTCTTATTTTCTTTTCCCATATTAGTAAGCACGTTTAAATAGAGAAATAAGATTTCTTAGAGATGAATGATAAAACATTATAATATTTTTAACATTCCACATGCATACAAAGCTAAGAAAATTGGTTTGTCCATTTGAAGAGATCCCACAGTGAAAATAATTAGCTACTAACAAGACCGAATTTGTCTTTTTCCAAAAGTTCAAACCTTCCGACCCTCTGTAGGTATAAAATGCCCCAGTTTTATAAAATAAAAGTATAAAGTGTCAAGTTCTAAGGTAGTGAGATTCATGAAAAAAATAAAAAGTGAGATTTCAAAATTCAAAGTGAAAATATAAAATTTAAACTTTTATTTTTATCTCTAGTTTGAAAGTACTTACATTTTCTGATTTCGAAAAAAAGGCATTTAATAATCTGAAAAGTGTAAAGAAAATGTACAAAAACTAGCTTTTAAAACCTTCAATACCATTTTCTTTTTAAAAAAACATAAAATTTTCGCTCAAAAAGAAGGCATTTTATACAAACACTCCGACCCTTGGTTCGAACCAGCTATAATGTAGAACATGTATTTCAAGATTGCTCAAATGATATCGTACATATATCTGTCTATAGCTGTACAATCAAGCGGACATTTATTCTGGCTAAAATGCAAATTTTTACTTTTATAATACACATACTAATAACGAATATTAAAATTAATGCATATTTTTTCTTACGGTGTTTTCAAGGTTTGATCGTTAGTCTTACTTAACTAAATTACCCTTTCCAATAAGACTCCCTCCCCTTAATACTGTCTTCTGATATACTATAATTTGTATCAATTTTCTAAAGATTAATCACCAAGAAAAAAAGAATAATTGGGCAGTTCAGAAAAGAGTATACAACAAATAATAAAAAAACTTACTAGAACCAAGGGGGAATTATCCTTTTGTAAACAGTAAAATTGTTCGTCTTAATCAAGCTTTTTTCATTTTTCCCTCATTCTATCTTCATTACCCCTCGCCCCCACCCCCTCTCCACTTTTAATAGACTTAAAAAATAGCCTAAATGGGAACTGGGATATTGTTATAAAACCAGGGTAGGTTTATCTCTAAATGACGAAATTGACTATCGCTGAAATTTAACAAAAATCGCTTATACTTAATTCAAAATCGCTTATATTTAATCAAAAATCGCGTATATTCAACAAAAATCGCTTATTTTCAACAAAAATCGCTTATATATAATAATAATTGTTTATATGTAACAAAAATCGCTTATATTCAACAAAAATCTCTTATATTCAACATTAAATCGCTTATATCAAACGAAAAATCGCTCATATTCAACAAAAACTCACTTATAATATTTAACAAAAAAAATGTTTAGAGCTAAAATTATACATATATTTTATTTGGACAATGATTAATTTGAAAATTTTTGATTTAGGCATTTGATGGAAGGCGAAGAGAGAGTAAAAGAACCTCGTCTCATGATCTCGGACTAGCTGTTGGTTCAGAAATCAACCAACAGATGGAGACACGGTTCGATCGGAATCTTCTTCATCCATAGACGCGGCAAACTTTGCCACTCATGCGCATAAGTCTTTGCACGTTCTTATGACAGTTATGTTTAAATAACTATTTGGGCTTTTAATAATCATGTGGACTTTGAATAACTATTTGATTTTGAATAGCTATTCGGATTTTGAAATCTTCGATTATCTAGTCAAGCTAATTTGACCTGGATACAACTGATTTACTTTTTTAGCAAAAGCATTATGAAAAGCCCATTAGAGAACATTTTAGTTTTTGAGAGAGATGAAATTACATATAAGCAAAGAACCAGCTTCCGACCCACAATTTTTTATTTAATTTTCCCATTTTTTAGAAAAAAACTCAGTTTCAGATTGAAGACACGCATTTTGTATAATCATCTTAGCTAGAGAAAGGTGAAGTTGATGGTTTTCAATCTTACCGGCTGAAGTACATGTAGGTTGTTAATCGTTTTTTCAAACGATCTTTTTTTTTGAATAAAGAAAAACGACCGGTTTAAAAACTATAGTTTTTTTGAAACGTTTTTGAAACTTTTATCGCAAATGAATCTGAGCTTTATGACAATTTTTTTTCAGGTAGATGAGTTAATAAATATTGTCTTAAATGTTTTTTTTTATTGAGAAGAAATAACTTGAATGTTTTCTGACCTCGGATTTATCCGGATTTTCCGACCAAAAAATGTATTTTCTCTTTAAAAGGTCGTTAACGGACGGATCGTTTTTTAAACGACCGTTCCGTTTTTTGTTTTTTCTTCGTCGTTTTTAAACAAAACGATTGTTTTTCAAAAAAGTGAAAACAATCCATCGTATTTCACATTTGTCTAAAAACTGAAAATAATCTGAAAGTCACATTTTTACATGTAGGGACTGTGAGCAATTGCCAGAATCACAACGGTACCCTTTAATAATACCTTTGTCTGATCAAGTATGAATTAGAATTTAATGTTCATAATCTTGTAAAGTGAATATTTTCAATTGCGGTTTTTTCTGCAAAAGTGACTTGCGTCTTTCTACCGCAGCAGGAAAAGAAGAATTAAACATTTTTAAACCTAGAAAAACATTAATTACGCTTACAGTCCCTTTAGATCAAATCTTTACAAATGTTACTTTTTAGTATTTTGCCGGCAATTAATATATGCCTTTCCCACGAATGTATATTACACATTACACATTACAACGCACTGGTAAGATTATGGAAATATTGTACTACAGTGGTAGACGATTTTATCAATATAATTAATACGAATTTCGATTTAAATTTTGATTTATATCAAGCGTTAAAACAGCCTGAATGCACAAAAACACCGTAAACAGAGAGACGCTGTCAATTAAAAAAGCTTCTCTTAATTGCTTGTAAACTTGGAATTTGAAAAAAGCTTGTTAACAATTAAAACTTAATAAAAAGTCGTCTTCGTTATATTGCTACAATCGGCTACCAACGTATGAAGTCCAAACTGGAAAGTAAAAACAATATAGCCTTTAACTTTTTCTTCTGTTAAAAACTTGAATTAGACAAAAATTATCCCCCCCCCGTCCCATGTTGTATACACCCCTGCATTTTGGCTACTGACTGATATGCTATTGTTGTTTAAATATTGGTGAAGAAAATGTACACTATATGTTGTTAACAGTTTAGATCTCATATAATCAGCCAATAATAGCATCTTTTTATTCGAGTTTATAAACAAATCAGAGACCAAGGCAGATCTTTAATATATCCATCTTTACGTTTTACTATGTACATTGTATACAATTAATCTTTTAAAACAGTATAGCTTGTACTTACGAGTAAAGAACGCTAATTGTTAAAAATGTTTAAATATTTAAAAATTGAAATTTTCAAACATTTTTTTAACGTCATCACAAGTTTAAGCAACGGTATGAATAAAAATATAATTCAAACTTTTGATTTGAAGAAAAATCAAATCTTGTTTCAAAGATTGTGCTATTTTCCCTTTTCGTTGCAATCTTGTACGCTGTGTACATAAACACCCAATGTACGCTGTACGTGAACATCCTATGTACGCTGTACGTGAACACCTATGTACGCTGTACGTGAACACCCTATGTACGCTGTACATAAACACCCTAAGAATATGAATTGTGAAAAAATAAGCTTATCTGCGAATTTATATATTTTGCAATTTTTTTCGAAAATTTAATTCAACTTTAGATCCTTCATTTTAAAAGTTGCGTAGTATCTATTTGACTTTTAAATTTTTAAAAACAATTTTAAAGGACTTTCAATCTTAAATTTGAAGTGAACATCTATTTTAAAAGGGCACATCCAATTCACACTAATATCATTTAAGCTTTTATATGATCAATAATGGTGAAGATATCGTCGTTTTATAGAATGAACAGTTGTTTAACATTTTCCTCCATATTGTTTCTGTACCAGAAATCCTTAAGTCATTTTAATACACTTACAATTGAAAATAATCAGTTTTTAAAGTTGAAACACATGGATATCTTTTTTTTTGTTTATACAAAGATACAAGGATATTTTCGTTGTTAAAACTGTGTGTTATTTAAAATTGTCAAATAACAAAGTAACAAGCAACATATCTTGAAAACTTAAAGTTTTAAAAAATTAAAATTTAAAATTTTGGCTTTTACATTGTTATTAAGGATTTATAAATATATTAAACGTCTATCTCTGCATCTCTGTAATTTTGGAAAGTTAATAATACTGAAAATATTGAGTAATTCATTAAAAAAATGCTAAAAATTAAATGAAACACTTAATGTCAAATATCAATAGATTTTTACACATTTGAAAGATAAATTAATGTAATTTTTGTGACAAAATATTTACATGTGTATGATATATGTTACGTATTGTTGATATTTTGTGAAAAAAAATATAAATTTTTAATGGAATATTATTCATGTAACTTGACAGCCTAGTATTAATAGAACTTACTGGAAACTTTTTAAAGGTCTTACCATGAACATTTAGAGCCTTAGACCTGAATGGTTTAGTATATTTGGAAATGCACTTAATCTTTGGAATTTGGAACATATTTCAGCTTCTCTCAAAAATGTGTTCTTGAGGGCCAAAAGTGCTCCAGATTACTTATCACAAGCTATAGTTTTCCAATACTTATATCTTTGCAACCAGATGGTGTAAACCTTTGGTATGTTAAACTTTGATAACTTTATTTGAAACATAAAATATTTTACCAAGTTGCAACGTTAGAAAAACAAATTTTGCTGGAAATAATCTGTTTAATTCGTTGATTTTATAAATATATTCCACGGATTGTCTTTTATGATAAAACTTTTGAACTAAGTCATTATAACTTTTTTTAAATGATGGCACATTCTACCCAACTAAAAATAAATTCGGGGTTATTTCTAATTAGGTATCAATCCCTTTAATGTCAGTAAAAAGATTTTTTTTTATTTGTAAATGCTGTTCAAAAGTTTAAAGCTTGTTAAAATACTAAGGGCGCATCCTTGGATATACAATTGTAAAGATGGATGTTAACCTACAATGACAGTGTTTTATCCAGTTAGACAGTTAGATGACATATGTATGTATAAACAGTCGTAGGGCCTTACTGGAATTGAGGTTTTCAAAACGCTGTGGTTTGATTTTATTATTATATTTTTTACATGGATTTCTTTAATGGTTGGATTTATTATAGCTACTGTCTTCTTTTAAAGATTTTGTCCATCGTTTAAAGTTTCAGTCAATCCTTTAAAATTTCTGTCTATCTTTTAAAGTTTCAGTCCATTGCTTCAAGCGTCTTTCCATCGTTTAAAGTTTCAGTCCATCGTTTAAAGTTTTTGTCCATCGTTTAAAGTTTCTGTCCATCCTTTAAAGTTTCAGTCTATCGTTTAAAGTTCCTGTCCATCGTTTAAAGTTTCTGTCCATCGTTTAAAGTTTCTGTCCATCCTTTAAAGTTTCTGTCTATCGTTTAAAGTTTCTGTCCATCGATTAAAGTTTCTGTCCATCGTTTAAAGTTTCTGTCCATTATTTAAAGTTTCTGTCCATTGTTTAAAGTTTCTGTCCATCGTTTAAAGTTTTTGTCCATTCTTTAAAGTTTCTGTCCATACTTTAAAGTTTCTGTCCATCGTTTACAGTTTCTGTCCATCGTTTAAAGTTTTTGTCCATTCTTTAAAGTTTCTGTCCATACTTTAAAGTTTCTGTCCATCGTTTACAGTTTCTCTCCATCGTTTAAAGTTTCTGTCCTTCCTTTGAAGTTTCTGTCCATTGTTTAAAGTTTCTGTCCATCGTTTAAAGTTTCTGTTCATCGTTAAAAGTTTCGTTCAATCGTTTACAGTTCCGGTCCATCGTTTAGAGTTTCTGTCTACTTTTTAAAAAGTTTCTGTGCAGTTTCTGTCCACTGTTAAAAAGTCTATATAATGCATTGCATAATTGCTGCAGATCTGTAATAAACGTATTTTTATTGTATTATGAAAAAGTTGAAGACAGCAATCAAACTTTTTACAAACCTCTTGTTATAAATTCAGCACATATACATTTCAACTGTGCTTATAATTTTAAATAAGAATAGTAATATACATCTTGTATACAACAGAAAAATACTTTTTAATTTTAACTTTTTTCGGTCCTCTTTGTAATTTCGTAACTCGTAATTTCTAAGCAGGTATTAGTTTAAAAGAAACTTGAATTTTATATAGACCCCCTTCCCCCCCTCCCCCCTAATAAATGGTTCTGTTGCCAACTGTCTTAACATATAAATTGGGCGCTTTAAGATTGAGAGATTTGATGATCGCGCTGCAAGTAAGCGCGTATAGTCTGGATGCGTGCGACATATATGAACCCCCCGGGGATATCTTGTATATATTCAAAATATATCTTTATTTTGGTTTAGTTAGTTTTCAAGATCAAACCTTGAAACATCTTAATTTTTATCCGTCTTCACAAAAACGTTTTAGTATAGAAGGACCGAATTTATTGAATATGAGCTACGCCGCTAAACTACCTATTGCCGGTTAAAGTTTAAACCATCACAGGATGAATCTTAATAAAGATTTTGAGAGCATTTTTTGTCTTATAAACTTTAAACACAATATTAAAAAATTTATATTTTGTTCTAATAATAAAAATAGAGGGATGAAAGGATAGTGTTTCTTATTTGGGGGTTGATTAATGTTAAAGATATTGATATTGAATAGTTACTATGCATTATAAAAATGGGTTTTTTAATATTTCTGAATATTCTATAATATAATTTCAATTGAAGGCAAACTAATTAACGTTTGAAAGGATATTCTAAAGCCGGATAAAACTAGATAGACAATCGATCCCAGGGATAAAAGTTTTGTATCGATCTTAAGTAAAAGATAAACCTCTCTTCCTAGACTGGGAACTACTACTGACTGCCGAGCTGCACAAAAATTACAAAGGAGATAATCTACTTTTAAACGATGAATTCTGTTAGATCAAATATTCAAAGTGTTTAGGTTGCAAAGATATTGGGATTAAAAAGTTAGGGGCACCGGGTAAGGTTGAGTTCCTTCGGGAATCAAACCTAAATAAATGTAAATCACACTCAAAGGGACCGTTCACTTATTTGGGTAATTTCATGGTAAACTAATTAGCCTATAATAGCTATTCATTTCTGAGGAAGATAGAGAAAACGTATCAAACTGTCAAATGTTTGAAATAAGTGAAAGGTCCCGTAAACGTAAATAAATGAACGGTCCCGTAAACGTAAATAAGTGAACGGTCCCGTAAACGTAAAAAAGTAAACGGTCCCGTAAACGTAAAAAAGTAATCGGTCCCGTAAACGTAAATAAGTGAACGGTCCCGTAAACGTAAGAGACCCTCTACACAAAGATGGCAATGCAGGATTTACAACTGAAGATACTGCCGTTTTTTGGACTCAAAAAGTGTTTAATTCTATGAGTTTTTCCATTGCTTCTTATAAACAAGAAAGTCGCAAGTCCCTTTAACTTTGAAACCGCAAATGAAAATATACAGTTTGAAGAAACAAATCATGTTTAGTTTAAACTTGACTTGACAAAGTTTTCAAGGGTACTGTTGTTAATCGGGTATTGTCATCTTTAAATGGAGGGTTGCTTTAAGATTAAAATATACAGAAATATTGAGAAGAAAAAAATAAATGCCTTTCTCTTATGTGTGTTTAAGATTAAAAATCAATGAGATAAAATGTCAGAAAGTCGGAGCAGTAATGTTGCCTATATATGACCCCCCTATACTATATGACTAGTTTGCTGTAAATTGGTGATCAAGCGAGTAGGCCGATTTATTATTCAGAGGGGGGGGGGACGTCAACTTCAAGTTTAAGGATTATGATGCAAAATAAACTTTTTGAAAGAAAAAATATAAATAATAAACTAAACTTCAAACTAAACTTTTACTTAAGTTCTTCCACCTTTTCAAAACAACTCTTTTTTATAAAGAGCTTTTAATACTTTTAATAACAAGTTTATAAATTTTAACATACATCTAACTAGTTCATACTTTTAATAACAAGTTTATAAATTTTAACATGCACCCAACTAGTTCATACATTTTACCATCTTTAATGTTGAATGAAGCTAGAGTAGCTGTGAGGTCGAAAAATCGTGTCAGTAATTTGGTAATATATAAACTTTTTTCTTATGTCAAGATTGTAGTGAAATATACTTGTAACACAAAACTTTTTCAAGAATAAGTGTGCGCATTTTTTTTGTGGGTGGGTAAGGGGGGCCGAGGGAGCCAAGGACAATTTATTAAAATGAGTATTGTGATTTTGAAAGGATATAAGATTGGAATCAAGGAAAATATAAAAGTGTGTAGAACTTCACGTCTTTTTAACCTTTTAATTCGTAACGTGCGTGGGATTGTAGTTTTATCTCAAATTTGCGCGCATAATTAAAGTTTGCTCACATTAACCAAGCACGCGTGCACGCACATAATAATTAGGTAGACAAGAGAACCTCGACACTTCAATTATAAGTCTCAAAAGTACATATATACATATACATATATATATATATATATATATATATGGAACATCAAAATTGGAAACGAAAATTTCTGAAAATATTTCCAAAATTTGAAAATTATTTAAATGGCTAACTCTCATATTAACATTTAAAAGCTAAAATTATTTGCAGGTGAGGGGGTGCGAAGCGCCCTGAAAGCCTTGTGTCTGTATATATCTATCTTTCTATCTATCTTAACGTTTATCTCATTTTTTCTATCACTTCATCTACATATATATATTATATACTTTGCTTTGGTGTCAGTTTGTTTGTTTTTCTGTTTTTTTTTGTATCCAATTTAAACGTCAAAACGGCCAAAACTCTTTGCGGGAAATCGATTATCCAATTTTCAAAAATTTGCTCAAACAACTTTCGGCTTTAGACAAATTTTTGAAAAATCCACGAAATTTTTTTTGATAAAATCCGCTAAATTTGTTGTTGTTTTTGGTTTACAATGTGTTAGTGAAAGCCTAGTATTAATATTTCTACAATATTTGACTAGAAACCAATAAAAGGAAACACCTTGTAGTCAAATATTCATTAACGATAAGTGCAAGGAAGAGAAAATAGCTGAACCTTTTCCACAAATTAAAATAACCCCGATATCTGTGCAACCTAATATCGTAAAGAAGTTTAGAATTTAGAGAGGAAAATGTTTACATCATTTGGAAAATATAAAATATTATAAAATATATTTGAAAGTTTATTAATTTTATTTCAAGCTATCGTTTTCTTTTTTTTATTTAACTTCATTTTTTGTACTTATTTATTCTACTGATTTCCACTTAAACCCCATTTGGCGTAAAATTTCGGAGCTCAATTTACAATTTACTATTTTGAAATGTGCCGTTTTTGTAACTTTTATATATTTCAAAATTAGTTAATAACGATACCATGTGAGCCTTTGTACATAGATTCAGAATTCTAAAAAAGTTGCATTTATCTTTAAGACATGGTCGACTTTGAAGTGTTGCAAGGCCTTGACTTTTGATGTTACTTAAACTTCTCACTATTTTAAGTTTTTAAGTTTTTAAGAGTTAATTTTCTAAATACTCATTGATTTTAGCGAAAGAGCTGGCAACCTTTGAATCACTTTGGTTGATAAAGATCGTTAAAGAAGGTGTGATCGTTCAAGATCGTTAAAGATTGTATGGTTGTTAACGAAGGTAGAAAATGCAGTTATTTCGACGTTAATCCGTGAAAACATTCATCAAATTCTCAACTGTTTTCTGGCAATAGATTTAGACGTTGATGGCTTTCTGAATTCAGTTTCCAAATTCAAACTAATATTAATCTTTATCTACTTTTAGATAAACATGGTTAGAATTGCAATTGTACTCATTCTTTGTGTGTCAACAGCCTTAGCTGAGGTAATACTTTCTCTTATAATAGTCTAATACAAACCTGGGTACTCAGCTTGGACCGCAAAGTAATAGAACATTCGACTAATATTTTGATATACTATGATTTCAACGCGCTTTGCAAACAAATAATTCCCGGGATTTTCTCTTTAAATTTTTATTTAATTTGCGCAACAATTAATTAATATACATTTCTGAATATATTTTAAATGATTTATATGAATACTATGAAAAATAAAATGATTAATTAGAAATTAGAAATTCAAAATATTTTGATCTTTTTAATAGCTCATTAATATTAAAAGTTATGATTAAAAGAATTTAAAATTTCAATCCTGCGTGCAATAATTACTTTAGTTTGAAATGCAATTTACTTTAGTTTGAAGTGCAATTTTCTTTAGTTTGAAGTGTTTGTAGTGCAATTTACTTTTGTCTGAAGTGCAATTTACTTTAGTTTGAAGTGTAATTTACTTTAGTTTGAAGTGTAATTTTCTTTAGTTTGAAGTGCAATTTACTTTAGTTTGAAGTGCAATTTACTTTTGTTTGAAGTGTTTGAAGTACAATTTACATTAGTTTGAAGTGTAATTTACTTTAGTTTGAAGTACAATTTACTATAGTTTGAAGTGCAATTTACTTTAGTTTGAAGTGTTTGAAGTACAATTTACCTTAGTTTGAAGTGTAATTTACTTTAGTTTGAAGTACAATTTACCTTAGTTTGAAGTGCAATTTACTTTAGTTTGAAGTGCAATTTACTTTAGTTTGAAGTGTACTTTAGTTTGACGTGCAATTTACTTTAGTTTGAAGTGCAATTTACTTTAGTTTGAAGTGCAATTTACTTTAGTTTGAAGTGAAATTTACTTTAGTTTGACGTGCAATTTACTTTAGTTTGAAGTGCAATTTACTTTAGTTTGACGTGCAATTCACTTTAGTTTGAAGTGCAATTTACTATGGTTTGAAGTGCAATTTACTTTAGTTTGACGTGCAATTAACTTTAGTTTGACGTGCAATTTACTATGGTTTGAAGTGCAATTTAATTAAGTTTGAAGTGTAATTTTCTTTAGTTTGACGTGACCAGCATGATGAACTTGGTTGTAGTTAGTTTTACGTGATGTATGCAGGGTTACTCACAAAGGATGAGACGAATGTACGAAATTTTTATGTGTTTCCTTAAATTCATGATTTGTTTCTTTGCTAAATCATTAAATAAGCCATAAGATTAATATATCTAAGGCGTAATCTAACCTTCGGGTCGTCATATTTTAAGAGTGTTCAGTCGTCTATGTAGTCTCATTCTTTGTAGGTAACCCTATATATCCTCAATTTATCTTTCTATGTTTCTGTTTATCTATCTATTCTTATATCTACCTGATTATCCATCTTTCCATTTTTTTATATCATTCTAATTATCTATCTATTAACTAGCTATTTATGTATCTATCCCTAAATATATATTTATATCTATCTATCTATCTATCTATCTACATATCTAGGAAAACTCTGAGCTGCTAGAAGGGAGCGAGAGCCAAAATTATGGATATGGATATGGGACTAAGGTAACATAATATCTGAAAATAGTTAATTTGTGTAAGTATAGAATATGTATATGTTACGTTTAATATATTAATAGAAGTACTTGCAGATTATTTTTATCAATTAATTGAAACATAGATCCAGGTTAGGAGGGAAAGTTGCATAAATTAAAAAACATAAACTGTTTCCCCCCCCCCCCCGACAAAACAATGACGACAACAAAATTCCAGTACTTTATTAAGTGTATTATATTATCTTGGGGTATCTGATAGATATTCATTACAAAAATAGCTAATAACTAATAACATAATATACAAAAAGATAAATATGTTTTTGTTTCGGAAAAGAATTTTTTAATAAAATCTCATTTAAGATAACAAAAAAAATTCAACACAAGGTTTAAAAAACAAGGCAGCGATTTGCATTATCCTTAAAAGTTAAAGGTACTGAAGTTGTAATTTAAAGTTACCCTCCCCTATAGAGATTTAAAGTTAACCTCCCCTTTGAAGATTTAAAGTTAACCTCCCCAATAGAGATTTAAAGTTAACCTCCCCTATAGAGATTTAAAGTTACCCTCCCCTATAGAGATTTAAAGTTACCCTCCCCTATAGAGATTTAATGTTACCCTCCCCTATAGAGATTTAAAGTTACCCTCCCCTATAGAGCGGATCCCCTAAAACCCACAATTTCTTCGATCAGTGTTCTGTAGATTACTACAGTACGCACTAAAAGGTTATGTTTGTCTGATTCACAAGGGTACTCTAAAGAAGGAATAATTTTCATGTAGAAAACCGTTGATCTAAAGGTTTAAAGGGTAAATGAGTGAATTGTACATGAAATTCTATAAAAACACTTTTACAGTTATAATACTAACAATGATAATGATGATACCTAGGTTGAGGGCCCTCACAGCACATCTACTGTATATGTTCATGGGTTTGGAACAGACGATTCCTATGACGAAGAGAAGGATAAACATGCATATGGATACGGGCATATCGATCCATATCTAAACGCTAAACATGGATATGGATACAGCAAGGGATATGGATATGAGAAAACTTATGGATATGGTCATGGAGGTTATGGAAAGGTAAAAAAATTAAAAATTAAAAAACAAATTTAATTTTCACAACATATTCAGGGATATGGATACGCTACCCCATACGCTGCCCCCGCCCCCCACCACGCCCCCGCCCCCCACCACGTCCCTGTTTACGGGCACAATAGCTACGACTACGGCCATGCCCCTGCTGGATATGGGGCAGGATATGGTGCTCCCACACCGTTTGTCGGGAACGGGTTCCGGTATGGGTTTGGGTACGCCCACGGCTACGGTGGACACTAAAATATTCTGATGTCAGAACAGAACCCTCCAGAATTCATGAAATTAATATTTTAAACAAATTATTTATTCCACATTAATAACCAGAAAACTCTGGAATAAGAAGTCGAATTTTAAACTGAAATTATGCTTTTAAATAGTTCAATGAACATGAGTCACAACAATTGTGCAGTGTAATCAGACCAAATTCACTTCTTTGTTGATTTAATAGAACTTCAAGTGTAATTCAGTATTGATTTAATGTCGTCTTCCTATTCTACAGTTTTCTAGTGATACCTGTAGTAAATAATTATTTATTTACTTTCTGGATTTCCGGATAAATTATTTAAAAGCTATTTTAATATTATATATAAATCGCTTTTTAAATTAGAATGTAATAATTAGTTTTTGTAGAAAATAATATTTACGATATTAAGGAGGAAACGCATAATTTGGGAAAGAAACATTCAACTATTTTTTAGCAAAGTCGCACTTACTTTACACACTTGTTACACCTTAATTTATTGATAAATGGTTCAGAATTTCGTTAATTTAGCATTTTTATATCATTTTCCAATTCTCATAATTTTGACAACATTATTTTCCTTCTTTATCCCGACTCTATTACGTCAAGTTGTCTCTGCTAAATGTTAAGCAGAAATGTTGAAAGGGAGTGTTCGTGAAAGATAAAATGGGGGTTAGGCTCGCTACTAATTTTACTTCTATCTTACTTCTCAATCGGTAAATAATTTAATTATATTTATAATTGATCCTTTAAATATTATAATACATAAATTATAAAATTTCCCACGAAACATGACAGTCATGGTGAATAGTTTTGAATGTCCTCTTCGCCTTCCATATGATGAATTAGATATTAAAGACTTTTTGCAGTTTATTTAGTTTAAAAAAACTTTACTCAAATATATTTTACTTAGAAATCAATTTTATTATAATGGATGCCATAAAATATTTATTATCATTCTCTTTGGCAACAAACAACTTGACATAATATGTCATGTTTCGTGGGACACCCTGTAGTTAACATATCGTTAACATATCTGAGCTCGATTAGGATTCAGCCTATACCCCTCTCACAAACACTCCCTTTAAATATATATATGATAAACTGTCAATAAGATGCTAAAATTAAGGAAATTGGTGCCTTTATATTTTGAATAAATTGACATGTTCACGTGGGATTCAAAATTGTCGAATTTGACTTTTGAAAAAATTGTAATCCACTAAAAATATAATGTAAAAAGATAGTCTACAAAAAAAACTATTTTAGATTATTTATCGAGAAAAAATGATTGTCTACGAATTATATTAGTTAATGAATGTTGCCATTATTTATTATACTTATTTATTATATTTGATATATTTATTTAGTCAAAACAAAACGAATTTTCAAATCAAATTTTTAATTTATTTTCAGAATTTTGAAGCAACATGTTTGTAAAATTAATGATATTGAAATTAAACTTTAGTTAGATAAACTTTATTTATTTTTAAGATTTAGAAGAGAAAACATCTAAAGCGACCTTTCATTTAAGATTGGCATGTCTGATTTATAACGATACCCTTTTATCCCTAAATACATTTTAAATTTTTATCTCCAGAGCGTCCCATATCATATTAGATTATCTCCATGTTTTAACGCCAAATCACATTAGCCTTAATCAATTTTTTAAAATGATTCATTCTTCTTAACTTTTCTGATTAGTCCCAAAAGTCGTAATTTAGACCGATTGACGATCTAATGTGATGTGGGACACCCTGTAAAACCCTCCGGTGAAGACGACATGAGGTATCTATAGTCTAATTTATCTAGGTCTTCCTCTGATCAATAATGTTGAAAATGTTCTTGCTTTGAAAGTAATTTATTAATTCCAATACTATCCTCATTGGAGTGAAATCTGCAAGCAATTTTTTGTAGAAACCTACAATTAAAAATAATAATTTTTATAGAGAGAAAATAATTGATAGTTCATGCAGACACAGCTTTTAAGAAAACCATGTCTGTTGCAAAGATAAAAGGATTTGAAAATTGGAATTTAAGGATATTTCGTTCCTTACAAGAGTTATCCGAAAATTATATGAGTCCTATATCGTTGTTTGATTCGAACAAGGATTTAAGAGGTATCATTTGGAGTCACAAAGTTTGCAAAAACAAATTCTCGAAACACTAACTCGTAAATATAAAAATTGCAGAAATGCAATACTTTTTATGAATTCTGCTCATCCTGTACATTGTACATCTCTAAGAGAGCCAGAAAACAGTGGAATCCTCGTTTTCTTTTTTTCTTTTGATAAAATGCTATTGTCTCTGAACTGTTCCTAAAAAAGTGACCTAAACATTTTTAGCGATATATCAGTTTGAAAGAACAAAGGCCTAATTCATACCACAGTTTTCTGGTTCTCACTGTATACAACAAAGAGTTTATTAAATTTTTAACTTAACATTGTTCTGTGTTTACCCTGTGATCAGCGGGATTATAAAAGTTTGGTTAGCCTAGTTTGCCCCAGAATACCCCAGAGAATAATTCTGTTTTTAAACATTCCAAAATCAGAAAAAATATTTTGGAATTAGTTTGAAATCACCATTGTATCCCAGCCAAATATATTGATAAAACCTTGACATTTTGTTAATATAGTGTCGTTTATTAGATTTGAGAGTTTAGCTTGTATATAGGATTGATAATGATCCTAAAATCATGACAAAACATTTTTATATTCAAAGATAAAACGTTGTTAACACGATCTATCTAGATTATAACTCAACAACATGTACACGCTTTTATGGAAAACCTCGTTAGAGTTCTGATACATGTACAAATATAATGTATTTGTACTTAACTCACCTACCCTCACTACCCTCTCCTCACACCTCAATTCATCTTAACACACCTACCCTCACTACCCTCTCCTCACACATCAATTCATCATTACTCACCTCACTACCCTCTCCTTACACCTCAATTCATCTTAACTCACCTACCCTCACACCCTCTCCTCACACCACAGTTCCTTTTAACTCACCTAACCTCACTACCCTGTCTTCACACCTCAATTCATCTTAACTCACCTACACTCACTACCCTCTCCTTACACCTCAATTCATCTTAACTCACCTACCCTCACTACCCTCTCCTCACACCTCAATTCATCTTAACTCACCTACCCTCACTACCCTCTCCTCACACCACAGTTCCTTTTAACTCACCTACCCTCACTACCCTGTCTTCAAACCTCTATTCCCCTTAACTCACCTACCCTCACTACCCTCTCTTCACACCTCAATTCATCTTAACTCACCTACCCTCACTACCCCCTTTTCCACCTCTATTACCCTTAACTCACCTAACCTCACTACCCCCTCTTTCCACCTCTATTACCCTTAACTCACCTACCATCACATCTCAAAATACATCTATCCCTCATACACAGTTCAATCTTGATGTTTGGGGAAAACATTTTAATGTAACACAAAAAAGGAAAAGTTCAATATTATTTTTAAATCTTTTTTTCCATCTTAAATATCCTCGTCTTTATCTCTCGAATAGAAATTTGCGGGTTAAATTACAAATATAAAGAAAAGGAATTTTAAAAAATTGTTTTTTTTGGTAAATTGTTTTATATTTGCAATATTAGGAATTAATTTCTCAATCAAAAATTCAGACAGCTTTGAAAACTTTGCATCATTTTGATAGGAGAAGCAAATTCCTGATATGTGTCTTCTATACAATTCTTGGCGCCACACCACATTTGCTAGTTTCATGCAATCGTCAGTAACGGGTCGTTCGTTCATTAAAGGATCATTCGTTCAGTAAAATCGTTCGTTCATAAAAGGGTCGTTCGTTCAGTAAAATCGTTCGTTCATAAAAGGATCGTTCGTCCAGTAAAATCGTTCTTTCATAAAAGGATCGTTTGTTCATTAAAGGATCGTTCGTTCATTAAAGCATCGTTTGTTCAGTAAAAGACCGTTTGTTCATTAAAGGATAGTTCATTCAGTAAAAGGTCGTTCGTTCAGTAAAGGATTGTTCGTTCAGTAAAGGCTCGTTCGTTCAGTAAAGGATCTTTTGTTCCGTAAAGGATCGTTCGTTAAGTAAAGGATCGTTTGTTCAGTAAAGGATCGTTCGTTCAGTAAAGGATCGTTCGTTCAGTAAATTTTTAAATCATTTGTTGATTAACTAATTAATCTATATGTTAGTCTAGGTGTGAAAAAAAGGACTGGGAGTTACGCAAATGCTGCGTTGAATAACAAGACAGAAAGAGAGCATGCGCGTAACTCTTTTGGGCTTCTGCATCAGGGTTTTTGTGAACGAAAAACACCCCAATCTTAAATAGACGACATATAGTGTTCTATCTGTATTGTTATAGTTTATGTTTAAAAGGATTAAAAAGGGAGGTTTAAAACATTTTTCACTAAGGAATGCAAGCACTGCTGTCATTCTGATAAAAAAAATTAAGATACAGTTTTGTAATTCTGCATTTACGAAATTACAGATACTCTAATAAGCCCTTCTAAAGACACACAAGAAATTGCATACACTCGACTTCTTGAAGATTTTCTACGAAAATTATGAATAAGCAGTGTAAGACGATTCTGATATGAAATTACATCCTATCTGCGAGTCTGGGTTCGATATTGCACAAATAAAGTGCAATGTAGATCTGTCAAAAAAATTGAGAAGAAAGCAAAATCAAATTAGATTATATATTTTTTTTAATTCCATTTGTTACAATACTTAAAATAATACAGTTTCTCTATTTTAGATTAATAATCCGCTTAAAACCAATAAAATAATATATATAATAAAATAATAGAATAATAGAATAATATTTTCAAAAAAGAAGAGGATTAAAAATCTTTGAATATTAGACTTCATAACTAATTTTAGAGTTGGCAACTTCTTAATGCTGGGAACTAACCTAATCCGTTCAATTATAGGGTAAGCTGATTCCTTCCTTTTAGATTTGTCAATATTCATTTGGGTACTTTTGTGAAGTTTGGACAAAATTAAAAAAGATGTTTTCCTGCTTTTAACAATTAACTGGGACACATTGTTAAGTGTATGTTGCAATAAAATGGGACACCCTGTGAACAATATATTGTATTAAAATGTGACACCCTGTGCACAATATATTGTATTAAAATGTGACACCTTGTGCACCATATCTTGTATTAAAATGTGACACCCTGTGCACAATATATTGTATTAAAATGTGACACCCTGTGCACAATATATTGTATTATAATGTGATACCCTGTGCACAATATATTGTATTATAATGTGAGACCCTGTGCACAGTTTATTGTATTAAAATGTGACACCCTGTGCACAATATATTGTATTAAAATGTGACACCCTGTGCACAATCAAGTTCTAAGAAATCTCAAATTTACAGTTTATATACAGTATACCCGAGAATGTGAGCAGGGTTCAACTTCAATAAATAAATTAGAAAAAATGGCTGACACTGACACTAACACCCGACCCAGAACTGAATTAAAGAAAAGATTTGATTTTATGTTTAAAATTGTTCTACTCGGGGATACGGTGAGCTTTACAAAAATTGCTCGGGGTAGTTTTCTCAAAAAGAAAACATCAGTTTTTTTCTAAAGTATTTAATCCAGTAGTCTTTCAAACTGTTTTTTAAAAATCCGTTTAGGGCATGATATTGCCTTCAAATTTTACATGAGTTAAACCATGTCGGTAAATTTTTTCAGGTAAAATAAAAATTTTCCCAATAAAAAAGAATACAAAAATATATTCTGTTGGAAGTTTTAAAGTTTCCAGCTAAACAAATAATTTTTAAAAATATCTCTGAATAGTTCGCAGAAATGTATGAAATTGCGAGTGTAAAAGATTTAGAACTCTAAACTCGTATTTTTGGAATAGATTCATAATAGATAATATCATGTTTTTGTTTCAGGAAGTTGGCAAAACTAGCATGATAAGGAAAATTTTAATTTCAATTTTTAAAAATACTCTAATAGATAGTTTTTCTTCGCAAGTTAGTAAATATTTTCATCAAAAAAAGAAATATTTAAAAAAAATTAAGTTTTTAAAAGGACTGTCAGCATAATTTCAAGTGCCCCTTCATGGAAAGATTGCAATTGCCCAATTCATTATAGTACCCTTGAAACCTCAATAATGTGGATCGGAAGATATTATTGTTATTCTAGGTGTTTCCTTCTGATAATTCCTGTTTTTTCTGCAGTGTAGAAATGCGCAAGTTACTTTTAGAGAATAAACGACTGAAAATTGTCAGTTTTTCAAAATTTTATACGTTGATATCTAATTCATAATTGATCAGACAAAGGTTTTAATGGTAACTTTCTTAATCAGGGTTGTCATCTTTGCATGCAGGGTCACTTATAATTATGCTCACTGTCCCTTGCACCTAGCTTATATTTATCGCTTTTGTCGATGAAAAAAATATCTTTTTTACAATTTTTTAAACGAAAGTCTAGAAGATTGCGGCATAATAAATATATTTATGAAGATGCTTAATCAATTATTGCAAGTTTATAAATATACATGTAAATCAAATCAAGTTCATCTGAGATTTAAAAACTGCTAAAGATATTTGAGTTAAAAATATAATTTAGTCAGCATATATCTAAATGTAAACAAAACTATTTTAGAAAGCGTAATATCTGTATTTCTTGTATAATCAAAATTAAATCAGCATTTTACGCTAAGCAACAGTCACAAGACTCAAGAAATATAAAGAAATACATCAGTATTTCTGAAAATTTAAAACTTTGAAATGTATGTAGTCGGTTTGTAGACGATGAATTTAGTTCTTTATCCCATCCAACAATTGGAGTAGATTTCAAGTAAGATCTTTACATTTAAATTCAAGATTTTGAGTATTATCAAATAACATTTTTTACAGGATTCATTGATTAATCCTTCTATCCTTCTATCCTTCTATCCTTCTATCCTTCTATCCTTCTATCCTTCTATCCTTCTATCCTTCTATCCTTCTATCCTTCTATCCTTCTATCCATCTATCCTTCTATCCACCTATCTTTCTATCCTTCTATCCTTCTATCTTTCTATCCTTCTATTCTTCTATCCTTCTATCCTTCTATCCACCTATCCTTCTATCCTTCTACCTTCTATCCTTCTATCCTTCTATCCACCTATCCTTCTATCCTACTACCCTTCTATCCTTCTATCCTCCTCTCCTTCTATCCACCTATATCCTTCTATCCTTCTATAATGTCAGAGTTTTTAAGAATTTACTGCTAGTGTTATATAGAATTCATAATCTGAGTTTTGGATTATTCAATGTCTGGGTTTTAGAGGTTTTAATATCCGCGTTTTGGAAGATTTATTGTCAAACGTTTTGAGGATTTATTACAACGAGGTTATAGTATATTGAGGGATGATGTACGCTAATCCTTTACTTATTGTACTTTACTTCTAAAGGTCAATCTGAATATTACAGTATTCGGAGCCCGAAAATTAAAAGAGTATCGTTGAACGAAACTCCCGAGTTTCCTTTTTGGGGTCTTAACATTTGTGTAGATTTTGATTTAAGAGATTCAAAAAATATGGAGAATATGAAGAAACAAAATAAAATAATATTTCATAACAAAAATATTGATATCCACAAAACTACCTAACCCCATTCATGAAACCCAGGTTCCAAAACTGGTTTAATAACGATACTCTGTCTTAAGTTTTGGGCTCAGGGCTAATTTCTGAAAATATTTAAATGGAAAATTTGTTTTCCATGTAACTATTAAAATCCACTACTCCTTTATCGAGTGCAGGATTCCATTTTTACAGGAAGACGTACTATTACAGTCTTTTACAGAGCAATATTTCATCGTTAATAAACTGTTCTTAGAAAACTGAGTAAAATTTAATATACAAAATCTCCCCATACACTTGTACTCCGAAAGTGTACTGCATATTTGATATTTGTACTGTATAAATGGGCTATAATCTCTTAATATTCTTTATCAGTAAACTATCCCAAGTGTACACTCAGGCCAATGCACACAGAGAGTTAGCTAGGATCCAGCCCCCCTGATTTATTACCAGAACTCAGAGTTAGTTTAAAATATCTATAGGTCTACAACATTGGGTTACGAAGATATAATGATTAGTTCTGTCCCTGAAGCTTTTCTATAATATTCCAAACTATAGTTTAATCTTAATATCTAGAAAACAAAGATCTGATTTTTATTCAAAACATTTTTAATGAATTTTTTTTCTTTGAATGAGCCATTTAAGGTTCCTGTTTTTCATAATATACTTGATTTTTTACAACAAATTTTCAACAAAAAAATTTATAGTTTTTGATGTAATTCTAATTAAATGTAAAAATGGGGGATTGAAATGGGGGCGGGAGTAAGAGTAGGTGCGGGAATTAAAGCGGGATTGGTTATTGAGGGGGAAGCAGATGTGGGACCAGGAGGAAAGGGGGGGGGAGATTGAAAAAAATTGATATGCATTGCATGCATTGTTATTACATTCATTCAGTTAAATTAAGATGCAAATGGTTTCAAACTATATTATTTCAAACCTAATTAGGCTTTAAAAAAATAAATATTTTAGGTTGAAAATATTAGAAATTGATGGATACTTAGTTAAAGTGCAGATTTGGTAATATATTTAAATTTAATGTAAATAGATTGATATTATATTAGCAAAAAGATTAGTTACTGAGGACCAGCTTCTCCCACTTAAAGCCCCCGCCCCATCCCTCCCCCCTCCCTACCTTTTCAATCAGAAATCTGAGAAATGGATTAATTTCAAACTTCGTAATTCTAAGAAAATTTTAAATTGTGAAAGGGATTTTTTAACTGAATTGAAAGAAAAAACTTTTATTGAATTTTTGTTAATTAAATAGTTCCTAAAACATTTTAATTGAATAAATAAAAAAAACAATAAATTTTTCTTATAGGGATACTGCTGGACTAGAGAAATATGCTTCAGCAAGTAAACTTTTTATCACATTTTTATCTTTTATCTATTTTTTATCTATTTTTTTATCAGGGGGTAGATGTTTGCCTTTCGATATCTGGGGTTTTTGTTTAATAACTTTAGAAGTAAACTAACATTAATTGTAAACCCTGTGATGTAACTTTTTAAACAGCCCACATCGATATTATACTTATTCCTCTTGGATTTCCCCTAGTTGGAGCAAATATTCCTCTTGGATTTCCCCTAGTTGGAGCAAATATTCCTCTTGGATTTCCCCTAGTTGAAGCAAATATTCCTCTTGGATTTCCCCTAGTTGGAGAAAATATTCCTCTTGGATTTCCCCTAGTTGGAGCAAATATTCCTCTTGGATTTCCCCTAGTTGAAGCAAATATTCCTCTTTTTCCCCTAGTTGGAGAAAATATTCCTCTTGGATTTCCCCTAGTTGGAGCAAATATTTCTCTTGGATTTCCCCTAGTTGGAGCAAATATTTCTCTTGGATTTTTCCTTGTTGGAGCAAATATTTCTCTTGGATTTCACTTAGTTGGAGCAAAAATTCCTCTTGGATTTCCCCTAGTTGGAGCAAATATTCCTCTTGGAATTCCCCTAGTTGGAGCAAAGATTCCTCTTGGATTTCCCCTAGTTGGAGCAAATATTCCTCTTGGATTTCCCCGAGTTGGAGCAAATATTTCTCTTGGATTTCCCCTAGTTGAAGCAAATATTCCTCTTGGATTTCCACTAGTTGGAGCAAGTATTCCTCTTGGATTTCCACTAGTTGGAGCAAATATTCCTCTTGGATTTCCCCTAATTGGAGCAAATATTCCTCTTGGATTTCCCCTAGTTGGAGCAAATATTGCTCTTGGATTTCCCCTAGTTGAAGCAAATATTGCTCTTGGATTTTCCCTAGTTGGAGCAAATATTCCTTTTGGATTTCCCCTAGTTGTAGGCAAATATTGCTCTTGGATTTTCCCTAGTTGGAGCAAATATTCCTCTTGGATTTCCCCTAATTGGAGCAAATATTCCTCTTGGATTTCCCCTAGTTGGAGCAAATATTTCTTTTGGATTTCCCCTAGTTGGAGCAAATATTCCTCTTGGATTTCCTCTAGTTGGAGAAAACATTCCTCTTGGATTTCCCCTAGTTGGAGCAAATATTTCTCTTGGATTTCCCCTAGTTGGAGCAAATATACCTCTTGGATTTCCCCTAGTTGGAGCAAATATTCCTCTTGGATTTCCCCTTATTGGAGCAAATATTCCTCTTGGATTTCCCCTAGTTGGAGCAAATATTTCTTTTGGATTTCCCCTAGTTGGAGCAAACATTCCTCTTGGATTTCCTCTAGTTGGAGAAAACATTCCTCTTGGATTTCCCCTAGTTGGAGCAAATAGTTCTCTTGGATTTCCCCTAGTTGGAGCAAATATTCCTCTTGGATTTCCCCTAGTTGGAGCAAATATTCCTCTTGGATTTCCTCTAGTTGGAGCAAATATTCCTTTTGGATTTCCTCTAGTTGAAGCAAATATTCCTCTTGGATTTCCCCGAGCTGGAGCAAATATTCCTCTTGGATTTCCTCGAGTTGGAGCAAATATTCCTCTTGGATTTCCCCACCTGGAGCCAATATTCTTCTTGGATTTCCCCTAGTTGGAGCAAATATTCCTCTTGGATTTCCCCTAGCTGGAGCAAATATTTCTCTTGGATTTCGTCTAGTTGGAGCAAATATTCCTCTTGGATTGAAACAAAACTATCTTTTAGTTACTCGAGCTTTCATATACTGAAATATTTATATGTTTGAACATTTTCGTTATCCATGAAATATTTCCGATTGATGGTTAATGGACCAACTCGCAGTTTGTAGCAAGTTTAAAGAGGGTTCGCCATAACACTATGTGAAAAGTGCACTGCATATTTTCGGACAAATGTCCTGACCGGGGTTATTAAAGTAAAACATCTTATATCTTTATTTTCACATGTATGTTTTGAAATGATCAAATAACAGATACCATATATAAAAAGTATTGATAAATGCAATGATCAAGGATCATTCTTGTTATTTTTAACATATTTATATTAAAAATATCCTTCATATCTCTATTGCCATATCTCCGTATCGCTATTTCGCAATGCTTGTCCACATCGACTGCGTGGCAATTTTCCTTATGTATGCAACCTGTCGAATAATTTACCTTTCTAGGTTTTGTAGTATAACCCTAGGTTTTCAATCTTTTAAAACCATTTTTCTCAATTGAGATTCTTATGAAAATACATTACATGTTCAAAGCCGAAGATAACAAATTTACGATCTGAATTGAACCAAACCAAAAAGGCAAACTTTAAACTGGCATAGATCTACCTAAGTTTAGTGCTACAAATAATTGTCCAAAATATAAAAAAAAAACATTCATGAAAGCTGTTTTTTCCCTCTATTTCTTTTTCTATGTCTGTTATCTACATATCTATCATATATATATATACTTTGCTTGCCTGTTTGTTTGTCTGTCTGTTTGTATCCAATAAACGTAAATTTTGTTTGGGGCATGTCACCAGGAAAGGTTCATACTATTAAGGTGAAATAGGGGATGGACGCGAAGCGCCCTAAATATATATATATTCTAGGTGAGATGTACTACAGAGGGGCAGACGTTTGTTTTCTTGTTTATGATACAACAAGCCGATTATCATTGAATAATACTCATAGGAACAGAATAATCAATACAAACTATTAGCTCAAGTGCCCGGCATTGCCCGTGGAATTCTAAATTCACTTTTTAAAAGAGGTTCCCTAAAAAAAAAATATTTTTGAAAAATAAATTAAATTTCTTTAGCCTATTTGTTACCTCTAGAGTACCCATGAGCGAAGAGCTCTATAATAAAGACAAACGAATATTTATATGCGCACTCAGAAATCCATTATAATATCCTTGCTACCTGAGTGAAATGTAGACTAAACTATTATATCCTTGCTACCTGAGTGACATGTAGACTAAACTATTATATCTTTGCTACCTGAGTGACATGTAGACTAAACTATTATATCCTTGCTACCTGAGTGACATGTAGACTAAACTATTATATCCTTGCTACCTGATATGTAGACTAAACTATTATATCCTTGCTACCTGACATGTAGACTAAACTATTATATCCTTGCTACCTGA